AATAGAGGTCGAAAGTGTCTTGACACTCGAGAAGGAACATTAAAATTTACCTCAGCCAGGAGGGCCGGGCTATTAATCAAGCCTGTCATTAATTTTACGATAAATATTATACCCAGCATTTCTCTACGACTTGCGAGTGTAGGCAAATTTATGAGCTTTAGACGACTTGTGTAAGGGGGGAGATTGTAATCTGAATCCCAGTTAAAATTACGCAATGCAAAAAGCAAGAATTGTTTTTGAATTGATTCAATCCTATCTGAATGAACTTGGTAGCGGGGATTCGTGCCGTAGAAGCGATTGTTTTAGGAATTAGGTCGAAATGTATGGTGTTATCTGTAGCAGATTGGTTGTATTGGAAAATCCGTAGTCTTATTGCATCGAATGTGAATAGTGAACGGGGCCATATAAAATATAAATTCTCCCAATAGATGCCTGTTGAAAGTAGCACCTTTTTTGGAAGCCATACATTTTAGATTAAGTAAGGTTAGGTTATTGTGGTGGCCTCAGACAAGGAATGCACTTGGACGTTTAAGAGATAGTCCTTTGTGCTACCACGTCAACTGAACGGATATCATTACCTAGTCGGTGGAATGGCTCGTCCCCGCAGCTCGCTAATCCACATTATGCTTTTACTTGAGTTCTACTGTCGAGACAGCGCATACTTAGTTACAAAAGCACCATCACTTTTAACAATTTTGTAATTTATACATACTTACCCACACCTCCTCATAATTCGTTAATTTTTTTTTCAATAAAACAATTTTTTTTATAATTTTTTTAAATTTTTTAAGATTTTAATGTTTTATTTTCGGCACTCATTGCAGATAAGTAATTGGAAAAAGTACATTTTGTGAAAAGTGCATGGCATATAAAAATTCGATAAATTTATTTATGTAGATAGAATAAATATTTTATAACAAATAAAAATATAACGGCTTATGTAATAGGCTGGCAGTAGAGCACAAGCAGTGTAATACCAAAAAAAAATAAAAAATTACAAAGTAAAGTGATCTCCACTTCGTTGCAGCCAAATTTTTGCAATTTAGCTGGCGGAAAATTTTAGGTGAGTTTTCATCATCAGTTTGCTACAAGAATGCACGCAAGTAATAAATTCTAAAGTCTATTATTTGTTGTTTTATACTTTTTTTTACAAATAAAATTAGAAATAAAAAATTTGAAAAAAGAAATTAAAATAAAATAATAAAATTAATCAAAAAAAAACACGCACACACAGACAATGCGAAGGCAACACCAACTCA